TGCCGCCTTCAGGTCGAGAAATACCGTTATTATCGGTAAGCGTGTCTTTGTTCCAGAGCCTAGCGGAGCGTGAATATTTGGTCAATATACTCACGACCGGATCTGAAGCCTGCCTGGTGTTCCCGAGCTCCACTAAGGCATCTGGTGATTATAGATTTGAAATCCAAGATTAACAATAAGGTAGTCAGTCGAAGAAAAAAAGAATTAATAATCACAAACCTTAGTCGAAATCATGATGACCTAAACGCCGAACTGTTGAAGAGAAATCTGTTTTCTTCCCTCTAGCATTCAAGAGTGATGAGATATTTGAATGAATAGACAGAAGAGTAAAAGCTGTGCTAAGAAGGACCTTCCCTGATACCCGAATGATCTTAATTCACAATACAGTATACTCAACAACACAGTCGAAAGTAGACAAATACCCAGATCACGCCGTCTCCAACTGTATGTATCAATTCAAATGTACTTGTGGAAGCAAGTACACAGGACTGGCCGAAAGAAGGGTGTCTGCTTGATTTTATGGTCATATTCCAAGAAATCTGTGTCTGAAAGATAGCAAGGTCTTGACCAACCCAATCACCAGGCACCTGGTGGAAAGAGGACATCATATAGATCTTTCTCAATCCTTCAGGATAATCAACAAACAACTAACTCCATGTTTACTACAGCTCTCGGAAACTCTCTCCATGAAACATTTTCAACCTGATCTATGTACTCAGAAGGAGACTGTAATTAACTCTTCTTTACTTTGGTAAATGTAGATACTTTTTTGCATGTGTATGTATACAGTCTTCGTTTTTTTGAAAGAATCATCTCTTCATTACTTACCGATTTTTAATCACTTAACGGTTTTCCAGTTTATCGTGTAATTACGTAACCTACTAGCCCTTAAGCAACCTCTTCTTTTACATTCCTGTCTGTCTACTCTCCCTCTCTCCCTACTCTACAGCTCCAGAATTTTCTATCTCATCGAATGCAAATTGATGATTTTGACTAAGACTTATGATTATTAGTCCTGAGTTTCCTCAATTCCCAATTTAATTGTTAATTATGAATTTCAAATCTTCATTTATGTCTACATATTCGGAGTATATCACTACTACTAGTACTAATGCATACTTCATTTCACTTGTAGGCTGTTTGTAGCTGATGAGAGGCCATGAAATTAAGTGAACTCAATCTGTTATGCAAATATCTTTTTTCTTGCATTGTCTTTTTAGAGGTTTATTTGCTTAAACGTCCAGTTGACACCAGTGAAAAATGTAATTAAGGTAACTGAAAAAATCTTTCTCAAAGACCAATGGGATTCTATGAGGATTAGTACATACTCAAAAACGAAACGATTAATGAAAACGAATTTATTCGCTCTATAGAACAGCTATATGAAGACACCATATGCCGGGTGATTCACAACACAATGGAAAGCTCAGTGACAACTTTGAAGTGAAGATAGGAGAAAGACAAAGTTGCCGCCTACCGTCACCGATAATCTTCCTGATTGTGGTCGACTGGACTGTATCATGCAACCGAAAACTGTGAAGAGTGAGAAGTGGGGCATACACTGGCTGTTTGACCGATGAAAAGACCCTTGAAGATTTGGATTTCCCCGATGATGATGATGATGATGATGATGATTTATGTCTAATGTCTTGCGGCACAAACTCCAAGATCTACAGGCAAAAACCAACGAGTTGACAGAAGAGGCGAGGCAGCGAAGACGGGACTTCAGGTGAACGTAGAGAAGGCAGAGGTGATGAAGATATTCAATAAACAACAAGAAGCATCAATCATCATCAATGGGGGAAGCCTAAAGGAAGTTATCTCTTATTCCTACCTAGACAGCATCGTTTCAACTACAGGTGGCACAGGCATAGATGAGGATGTCAAAGACAGGATTGAAAAGATAGCAAGATAGGGCTTCCTTCATTAATCTGAAACCAGTATGTAGATCTAATGCACTGCACTGCACTGAACAGCTGCCGCCTACGCTCATGGCATACTCAAGATCAGATGGCCAGAAAGAATAAGTAACAAGGAACTCTGGCCTGGCAACGAACCAACCAAGAACTCGTTGACGAACAAATATGCAGAAGAAAGTGGAGATGGATTAGATTGAGCATACACTGAGATCATTCGGGAACAGCACGCGCCAGACCAAACCCTCGAGTGGAATCCAAATGGAAAACGATGAGTTGGGCTTCCGAGGGTGACACGCAGGAGATGGTGTGAGGAAGAAATGAAAGCTTGAGGGCAGTCATGGAGCCAGGTTGAAAAGACTGGAGAGAAGAGAGTGAAATGGAGACGTGCTAGTGAATCCCTATGTTCCACTAGGAACCCAGGGGACAAATAATAATAATAATAATAATAATAATAATAATAATAATCAGCAGGTCATCAACATGCCATCCTCTATAGCTTACTCCATTTTTGTCTTTTTTTATCTTCACCAATTTCTTTTAAAATTTAAGCTCTATAAGAATAAAATGCATGAACAGTTGTCTCAGAGTCCGTATTCTGCTAGCTAATACAAAAATAAAGTTAGCTTCGTTTTGTTTTCTAAAATTCTTGGGATACATCTAATAAGAGAGAAAAGATTAGTAGCTGCTTTCGAAAAATGTAACACTTTTCTGCAGTACACTCACTACATAAAGAAGTTCTATTTCGAACTAAGTTTTTCAATAATGACGCGCGTTTTGTCCTATTCCGAACTTGTCAGCTGGAGGTACCTGCCTTCCAGTGAACGATGGTAGGAACCAATCGCTTCAAATGCCAGGGCGTTATCCACCGAACTACCGAGTCACGATAGTTACTTCTTGTCCAACGGGCATACTTTTAGTGTTCTAGTGTCACACAAGCGATCGGTCCTGATTTCGAGTCCTAGCGTGAACAACATCGTCCACTGGGAGGCAATTACATCCCAGCTGACAAGCTCTGGATAAGTATAAACGCATATCAAGCTGGATTCCACTAGTAGTCACTTTCTATCATTAATATGTTATTGAAACATAGGCAATATCAAGGCATCCACGTAGGAGCCCATATACTAATAGAGACCGATCAATTCGGTCCACTCAACAACGGGATGATACAAGCAAAAACATTAAGCTTTTTATTTGTCGGGATATAGCAGTAAGGCATATATTTGCAGCCTTGACGGAACTGATTTCCTCTCAAAGATTTCAATTAGCACCACCATATGCTGAATTCAAAGACGGTATTATTGAGCTACTCAAGCTGCAATCAAGTTCTTACAAGTCTCAGGAATATAAAGTAATTAGTTATTACGACTAGTTCTAAGTACTGACCAAATTCTATCGATCGTTTCGCAAAGTGATCATCGTCAAGCTAGATAAGTTAGCTAACTGATACCAAGTTGTCAGGTAGGAGGGAAAGTAATCGAACCGAATAATGATTGTTGGTAAACATGGAATGAGATGTCAGTCATAGGGTTTGAGAATTATCATATCTGATTTTTATGCTTAGGAATTTTAAACTGAATGTAACACACTAATGAAAATAAACGACATGAAGTACAAGTTATGTATTAGAACTACTAGAGAGACAATATAACACTCAAAACGAGAAATGGTGCATTTAATCTCCAACAAAATCTGTGGAAGATACGTTTTACAACAGAGCAGTATCCTCACCATAGATATTAAGGCATGACATAATCTCTTTTTATTATTAAGCGACTTCAGACGCTACACCTTATATGCACGAAAATAGTAAAGTTCCTATTATTTCAGTCAGTCAATCGATCGATATCAACCTGGGACCTGGCATTACTGCGTAACAGCCAGTTGTAGAAAGTCGTGGAAAGAGAATCAGAAAAGAATGATTAAAATGAAGATAAGGTTTGAATGGATGTTCATCGCCGTGATCTGTTATGAGCCATATCATTTGGAGTCTCCAACAACAAATTTCGATTATTACATGGACCCCAAACCTAGAAGTCAACATCTCCCGAGACGGCTAAGGCCAACAATCAGAGAATTCAATCAAGTCTTGTTGCCCTCGACTCTCTCCCAATCTAAACCTAGCAAAGGTGACAATGTACGTCGGAACAGACGGTGATTACGCTTGAGTAACACATGTTCCATCTAGCAACCTAGGTCTATGAAGCTTCAAAACCTCATCAACTAACTTATATCTTATACCTAAGACTCTATGCCTGAATTCTGCGTTACTCAAATATTGGTTTCATGACACATGGCTTATTCTACAGAGAAAAGAGTGGCTGAACACCTGTGAGTCACGAGTTCAAACCCCACCCCGTTCAGGCAATTCGGTAATCAGTATCGTAAGCTCTCACACATTACGTGTGGCTTGTTGTCTACCACACAGATGTGCACAAGGTAACTGAGTGCGTTTTGTAGCCTGTAAGCATCATTTTTCACAGCCGTAGAGTAAAACAGAGTGAAATGAAACGCATTGCACTGTTTTAGTACGTAATCGGATGTCACCCTGTCAACGTATATGGTATAAATCGGTAAAGTCAAACAAGCTATTTATATCCTTGTGGAGCTTTCAGTGTTCAGTGACCCAGCAGAGCTAGCATAACTTCTTAGGTAGGTAAAATGGTCAGTGCACTTAACAACTTCAATGCTTATTCTCAGAAGCGGTATTATCGAAAACTAACAAGGGAGAAAGAATTTTTATTTGGGTGATGAGAAATGCATCTAAAAAATTTTTAAATTGTCAGTTAAGGTTTCAAGAAGACTTAGCATCTTGTCAATATCTTCAACTGGCAGAAATGCATTTCATCTATGTACTCTAAATGATTTCTCTGATGGATTATGAAACCGATGAGATATTTGACATTAATTGGATATATATGCATATCTAAACAACATCAGATTATTCGCTACGTTTTCTCAGTCGCCTAGATAAACAAATATAGACGTTCAATAGGTCTTTAAAGAAAAAAACAAAACACACTTCTTAATGATGAAAAAATCAAATAAATTAAGATATAAAAAAAATACAATAAACTATACCTGTAAAAAATAAGCATGTGCTTGAGCTTCAGGAAGTCGACGAAACTGTTGTTGTTGTGATGGTGAAGATGGATTTTTTTCATTACGATGTGAAGAATGTTCAATAGTGGAGACTTTACGACTTTTTAACTTTGAAATTTTTATATCTTCCTCTTGGTTAACTTGTGTAGATATCATAGGTAATCGAGTGTGAAATCGACGAATTTTATTAAATTTCAACGGAGAACTTTTACTGGTGACTGCTGGTTTTGAAGTGTCTTCACATCCAGCTTGTATTTCATGTTTCCCTTTAAAATATGACAATTGTGATGGTTTAACAAAATTGTCTTCTCTTCTATCATATTCATTTTCTGAGCTTAAAGCTGTTTGTGATGGTACACCAGCAGCTTGTAAATCGTGTACAGAGCCTAGACAATGCTCCATTACTAAGCATAATCGATCCGGATTTTGTAAGCGTAATACTGTAACAAGTGAGACAACATGTCGACATGCAGATAATCGTCTCATAAAGCTGACTTCATGTAAAGCTTGATTCCAACCTCCAGGAATTTTACGAACACCTAACTTACTGATAATTTTTACAGCATGTCGTCGAAGTGTGTACAGGTCGATAGCATCCTTCACCTGTAAAGTGTACGTTAATAATAATGATAATAATAATGGAAATGTGTTAAAGTGATTAAATCGTAAATATCTAAACACTCTCATTTGGTGGCCAAATAATAAATACCAAAAACTATTATTAACATAAAAAATCCTAGAGCGTTTCAAACATCCTCACAAACCAGCCTGTGTGATGGATAGAATAATATTCAATCTGTCAAAGTTAGTTATCATGTAAGATATTTGAACTTGTGGCCCTGAAGGTTGGAGACTGATTGAATAGAAAAATCAACAGAGAACCTCAAAAACAGGTGTATCGACTGAAGTTGCCACACTTCACAGTAGTATACAAAGAACAGCTGCGCAGAATAAGAATGATATCAAAGTAGACAAAGTTGTGTCAGACAATAAACAATTTGCAGACAATGATTACTGCAAATATTTACCCTTTAGATGTCAAGGAGGGAATACATCTACCTTATTGTGATCGATTTTCAGCCATGTCACCAACAGTCCTCAACCATTGATTTTTATCATCTCAGGACTACAATCAGTCTACATCTCCCCAAACAACTCAAACTAACAGTTAAAAGCTACATCGCTGCTGCCAAGTCTTGGTCTGGTTACCCTCAACCTTCTTCCAACCTAATCCAACTTCGCCCAGTATGGCCTGTCCAGGTAGGCGGTGGCTTCGTATGAGCAGTGCATTTCCAAGCCATCTCAGTCAACTGAGGTTCATAACTACATCAATCGACTTGCGAATCTTATATTGCCTAGTACCCTTTGCATGACCTCAACATTACCCACACGGTGATTTCACCAAATGCGAGCAATACTACGAAGACATCTGTAACTGACTCATGTCTTCTACTTTAAACGACGATGTTTCACAGCTGCATAACATGACAGAACGAACTGCTGTTCGGTATACTCGCCCGTTGATAGATAGTCAAGTATCTGGCAAGTCTGTACCACGAATAATGCAAATTGACAAGTGCCAAACGGGTCTTCTGTATCAGAGTTGAGATTTCGTCAGCATCCAGCCAGTTCAGGTTGATGCAACTCCCCAAGAAAGTGAAGTGGTCAACACATTCACTCGCTTCACTCCCTATCACTAAACTAGGAGTACTTTCAGCAGATCAGTCCTGGAGCATCATCATACATTTGACAGATGGAAGCGAGATGCATGCCAAATATACTTAGATTTCTGCGCAAAGCGTTCACAACAACACATTAAAAATGAAGTAAAAAAAACAAAATAAAAAGTTCTAAATAAGTAAGAAGGATATGAAAAGAGAGAGAGAGAGGAAAAAAGAATTTTTATGGTAACAGTACTTTTATAGCGAACAATTTCAAAGGACGTCAGTAATACTCCAAAAACGCTGCTGCTTAACCAAATTACATCTACGTTTAAAGGTGATCTCAGAAAGCCCTAAAGAAGTGTGAAGTATGCTGACCTTCTGTAAAGTGAACTTTAAATCACATAGTGATGTGATTTTCAAAACATAAACTAGCGAAGTCCCTACAAATCAGTTTCTGCACTCAGAAAATGTGAATGAATGCAGATTGGTTCTGAAGAATCCACCATTTAATAAATCATAAGTATGAAAAATGAATTTGACACTGAGAAATTACTCAGTCGTTGTGGTCAAAACACTATCTATTTCGTTATTGCTTCCAAGAACATGACATCCACATAATGTAGATCAAACCAGAACAGGTTTGAAGACAAATATCAGAATGGATAAGTTTATACATTGTTTTAAGATGACGATTACAGTATTTATCAATTTCTAACCAACTATCCAATTCATATCTATTGTTTAAGAGGCAAAGATAGAAAACTAGTATCCAACTGTTTATATCTGAATTAAATTGAAAAGAATTCAATATGTCACTCAGCAATAACATGCAAATTTGCATACTAAGCGATGTTTGGAATTACCTAGCTGCTGAAAATGTTTTGCTTGTAGAGGGGGGTTAAACCAATGATCAAGACCGATAATTTTAATAAACTGCCACATTTAGCAACAGAAAAGACAGAAGAAGAAGAATGGAACAAGACAACCGATTGGAAGTCATCTGTTAAAAGCCAATGAGAGATTAGTACAACAATGATATCGTGAACATTTAAACCAATAGTCTTCTACCACTGATTACTATCCTCTAGAAACAGTCATTCACCATGCTGTGATGTAAGTAAGCATCAAGTGCGCTGTGTATTTATAGTGACAAATTTCACCAGTAATCATACCGCTGTATCAAGGCCATTGTAGCTAACAAGGCAAGCTGGTTGGTTAATATATGTATACAACATTTAAACGCATAAATTAAAGTATAACAACGATTTAACATGGTGAATCGATTCATCTTTGTCACGAGTGTAACAAGCATAGTAAGCTACTATTTATCGTACAGTAAACGAAGCTTACTTTGACCAGTTTAGTAGAACCATGTTAACTTACACACAATTTTAACCTGCGTTGATTCCTATTAAGCAGACTAAGCAGATGTGAAATTCACCTCTTGTCTTTTACATGCCATCAACACATGTGTAAAGATGTATATGACCAGATAAAACAACTGCAAACTTTGTGTTTGTGTCGTGGCGGTCTAAAATTAGGTGAGCCTTAGTCTAAGCTGACTGGTCGGCTAACAACCTTCAGTAACTATTCAACCAGGTACTAACCTACCAACCGCTTAAACTTATTAGATGATGTCTTGTTATACTCTTCCGGGTGGACAGGCTGGAGTAGATGAAAAAGAGATTTGAACGTGAGATATATCGCTTGAAAATCAAGCGAAAATACTTTCAGTGATGTATATTATATTAGGTAACCGTTTTGTATATAAGTAAGGCACATATTTACTGACTGGTAGGTTCTGCATTCTAATGTCATTTGAAATTAGGCCTTCGCCGGTCAGTAATTCTGTTCTCGTGGGCAGTTATCGTACAATGCAGTAATAAAATATGGATATGTAAACTGAAGAAAACAGGATGATTAGTCATGATCGCATTGTTTGTGTCAGTGGTTTCAAAAATAACATTTTAATCTGAGAAATATGATATATTGCATAAGATGTATATGGAAACAAAATTTCACCACTCACTTATCAAAGAATTTTAGGTGAAGAATGATAACAGAAGAGGAAAATGAATTCAGCAATACTAAGCACGTTTGTGTAGAAAATGATGAACCACACCAATTGCGTAAGGCCTAATGACACTACCTGACTGACCGCTGTTCAAATCTATGACCCAATGGTTGAAAGTCGACTATCTTAACCAATGAGCCATAGTTTCACGTGATAACAGAATAGGAGAATCAAACAAGGAGAGTTAACTATGTTGGATTGCAGGATAAAACAAAAGGCAGACGGTGGTCTGGCTACTATCATCTACAAGAAACCGACACATTCCAACAGGTATCTAGACTTTTAGTCATCTCATCCAATATCATTCACTGAAGGTAGCTTTAGTCAAATGTCTAAATGATAGAGCTAAAAAACTAACTAATCAGCATAAAGACTTAAAGAAGGAACTGAAACACATAAAAGAAGCATTAATGGTTAATAATTATCCTCCACAGTTTATTAGGAAATTCGTAGGAAGATATAAGAAACAAAATGATAACAGTAATAAGAATATGAATAATGGCGACAACACAAGTAAAAGGATTTCAAAGCCTCCACTGTGTTACCCTTAGGGAAGGAACATCAGAAAGTTGGCGTAGGATGCTCAACAAGGCTGGAGTTAGGGTAGCATTCAAACCTACAAACTCACTCAGAAATAAGCTCCGTCGGTTTAAGGGCACCATAGATCCAATTAAGCAAAATATTCTAATTTATGGAATTCCATGTAATGACTGTGAGGTCAAGTATATAGGTCAAACTAGCTGACCGGGGTCAGTTCGATTGGCGGAATATGGGAATCCGGCTAACTATAGAATGACAGACCCCAATAAGATCAATCGTCTAGGAAAACGGCTCGGCTATTGTAATGTATGTATTAACACACAACCACAAAATAGGGTAGGATAAAACTAGTGCGCTTAAGTTTAATATAATTATGTGGAGAGAGAGGAAGAAAGATTGATTTGATTCCTGTAACATCTCCAATAGAATTGCTTTAACAGAAATTATAAACCAGACGAAAATTTTAGTTGTGTAATCTTTTTGTTTAATTATTTATATGGATAAGTCACAGGAGAGCAACCAATTTCATGTTGTCTACTCCTGAGTGCAAACTGAATCCTGTCGATCATATTTGCAATGTGGCCACCAAGCTAGGAGGCTAAGCATCCCGGTGCACATGAGTAGTTGTCAGTTGGTTGGAGGCAGTCGGGAGAAAGCTCTGGACCTAGGTTTCGTGCTTGTCGGTACTCATCAGTATGTACGTCATCTATTACATGTTTACACTAATAAACAAATTCATAATCTATGCGATGTAATCAGCGTCAAAAAACTAAGTTTGATTTTTAGATATTTTCAGACATATCTGAAGTGCTGAAGACATTTACAACATCAAAATATAAATCTAGCGCGAAAATATCCTTTTTTTACTTTTGAAAACGCTAAAAGCATATTGTACACTAGTTGCTATTCATTTTCTTCTCTTCTCACTTGCACATCTGAATATCAAAAATTATTCGTAGGCATCAATCACGTCAATGTAGATCACCACGTAAGAAGCGTTTAACACTCATAGGATGATGAGTTGATGCAGAATATTTGTAGCACAAGAGAATGATTTTGATGGTGTAGCATTCTCTTACTTGTATGGTTTATTCATGAAGTTTTCATTGTCATTCTAGACAACATCATCAACAAAGACATCAAAAAGAAGTGAACTATAGGGTTTTCTCTATAATTAGCTTGTCCTGATGACTTTGTGTATGATTGGTTGTTTCTACCGAAGTCTTGTCATTGTCTCCTTACTTAGTTTTGATTGGTTGTCTTGCTGACATGATCTTAACTTTGACCTTCTTGTTGTTTCTTATTGGTTGACGGATTGGGTCAAT